TTTCTTTTTGTGAATCACATGCTTGGTTAGACGGAAAGAAAGAAAGTCAACAATTTACATCCAGATAATCCATGAACATTAGGCAGACTAAATAGGAAAGCATACCAACAACAATATAAACCAAATATATAATCACCTACAAATACATAGGAAGCGACTTGAACGGGTGAATTAGGAGCGCTCGATCAGCCTGGTCGCATGTCTGCATTTCATCAAACACATACCATGCAGAAAATAAGCAGCTAAATGTATAGAAGAATATGGAATAGAAAGACAACAGAGAAAGGCAACAAACGCCCCCACACACCCCAGCCACTTTTCAAGAGGGACCACCAAGTGGCAAATCCCTCCACATGACCCAGACCGTACCCGTTCAAAAGTGAGATACATAATTCAAAATCAGCAACCTAAATTGGTTGTGACAGCATCCACAGCCGGACTTAGGAAATCCGGCCACCTATATGCATGTGGGCGCGTCCGCGGACAGCACCCACCGGCCCCTCATATCTTGTGTCCGGCGTCCACATATATCAAATCCGGACTCTCAAATCCATGCACGTCGATCATACACGTCAATGTCGCACGTAATAACAAATGTTGGTTCCGAAAATCCATGCAATCCCTCGTGAGCTTGAAGTAGTCATCAGATGCCTCCACTCCCTCCACAATGCGCAAGAACAATGGTGTCTGCATGCGGAAACAACGACAAAACCATGGATCATCCGGGAAAGTTGGGTCCATAGCTAAGTAGCCCTTCTGCAATAGCCGTGCCCCAGACACCCTATCCTGATTGATCACTATTCTCCCTTTGATTGAGCTCCTGAAGTTGAAAATATGCTCTACCTGCCGGTCCATTTCCTCTTTCATGCTCATGAGCATGATCATGTCCAATTCTTTGTATGAATCCGAGGAGTCGAAGAACTCTTCTTGAATCATTTCATCAAGCTCCGCCAGTCCATACGCCTTGTCGGACGAATCATCAGATTTCATTGTTTTCCCTAAAAAAATCACAAAAAATCCGGTTAGACAATGTATCGAACACATAGAGCCAGAGAGTTGCCGGATGTACTACGGAGGGGTCCGGACCGGCGATGACGTCGCCGGCGCGCGAAGATGGGAGAGAGGACTGCTCGGCCGGAGGTGCCGCGCAGGTCTAGGAACAGCTGCGGGGCACGCGCGGCGGTGGAGGGGCAAGACAGATGTCGAGGAGGAGGAAGAAGAGAGGAGAGAGCAAATGGATCCGGTAGGTTGATTTGGTGCAATTTGTTGTGGGGTCTGTAGAAAATTATGAGATGGATGAATATTGTTGTTGTTTCAGTTGTATTGATCCGACCCTCATATGGGGTGTATATAGAATACATTGTGAGGGAGAGAGACTTGGAGTAGAGGGCAAGTCGTACATGTTAAACCTATTCTATCTCTAACTCCTACCTCTATCTTAAACACAATTATATTCTAACATCCCCCCTCAGTCGTAGCGGGAGTGAAGCGGACAATTGCGACTGAATTTGTAGTCTTGCGCTTTCGTTCTCTTCTCCACTGTGCCATCATCAACTACGTCTCTGATGGGTCGACACCTAGGGCGGTGACTGCGTCCCCTTTTGGTGCCTTCCTTGTCTCTCCTCTCTTCCCTCCCGCAGTCACAGCGGGAGTGGCATGGACGCTAGTGACGACGCGGACGCTGTTGACTGGAGTTGTCGCCGATGAGTTGCTGTAGACGTAGCCATTAATGTCGATGTCGAGGTAGCCGATCATTGCGATATAGCCATGGTCGAGGTAGTCATGGTCGATGGTGTAGTCGTCGTGGATGATGAAGCCGCACAAAGCCGGAGGCGAAAAAATGCGCTATGACGGAGCTGGAGACGTGGACGATGCACCTTGCGGATGTCAGAGGGTGCCGTCGGCGATGAGTCCACTGATTTTGCCAAGACCGAAGGAAGCCCATCGAACACACATCGGTTTTGCCAAAACAGTGTGGTTGTGCAGGGTCGTCACTGTAGTGACACCCTGTCGATGCAGTCGTGTTGTCATGGATGACGCGGTCGATGCCGTCGTCGTGACGCGGTCATTGCCGCCGTCGTGGTCGCGTCTTGCAGAAAAGTCTGTCAGAGGACGCTAGGTGTCCATCTTGTGAACAAGGCAGTGGCGGTGTGTTGACGAAGATGTTGGTGAAGACCACGTTGATGAAGACCTTGGCGATGAAGTGTCGGCGATGGGGTTGCAGCGGCGTGTCAACGATGATGCTCCGCGTTGGAGGCGTCTCTTGTGGCGACGAAGTGTCGATGTCGTGTCGTGCCGAGGAAGTATGTTGGCTCGTAGCCTGGCGTAGTCGGATAGCTTGATGTTGTTCGGCTCGATGCAGAGGCGTCGGTGTAGCTGTGGAGTACATATCGGCGGCGACGGTCGACGCAGCCATGCAGAAGATGATGTAGCTCGGCTCGGGATGTAGCGGTCGGTGTAGACGATGGTGTCGAGGGCGTCGTTACAGATTGCTCGGTGCTGGAGGTGGTGCACTGTCGTCTGTAGCACGCGCGTTGACGAAGCCATGATGTGGTACGGGATGTCGATGACGAACTGGTGCGGAGCCGCAGAATCGCTGCGTGAAGCTGAACCACCGCGGAGATCCCATCATAGCTTTGCATGGCATGAGCGTGCATGCCTGATTTCTGGACACCACGTACTCGCGTCCTGGACTCGTGCACAGGAGCACCTCAGATCGGAGTAGCCCCTGGTTCCAATTGGATCGGGACGATGCTCAAATCGATGTGCTTGCCTGAGGACGCCGCGTACGCGTTCTGGTGCACGTAGTAGAGGCCGGCACCCGGGGTGGCTGTTTGTCGATGCAGATCGGATCGAGTCCACGTGACTCGCCGGGTGTCGAATTATCGATGCGCTCGTACGCCCGTGGCGTTTGATGTAAATCGCGTCGGGGAGGTGTCGGGCTGATGCGCTCGTCCGACGAAGTTGTGCGGCGCTCGGAGTCAAGCGGGCCGTCGCTGGTCGCGGACTCTCCTGGCCCGCGCGTAGCTTGTCGAGCTTGGCGTCGAGCCGACCGGAGTACTGCCCGCTGCATGCACGCGCCACCTGCTCGTGGATTTGGGTCAGATTGGATCTGAAGGATCTGAGGAAGACGCCCCGGAGTCCCGTCTCCTTTTTGCCGGCTTGTTCGGCCGGCCGGCGCTGCCCCTCCTGACTGCACCTGATTTTCACCAATATTCGAGGATGGTCGGGATTTATTTGTAGCTAAAAAAAAATTGACCTAAGGGATCTGATTTGGAAATCGATCTAATCTAAAGAATCGATCTAACGATGATGAACTCGAAAATTTGATCTAAAACTACGAGACCGATCAAATCTTTGACTAATCGGGTGCTGCGCCCCCGAGGAGAGAAAATTAATCTCCTCGGGGGCGGCGCGCTGCGGAAGTGGTAGAGGAATCTAGGATCGGCGTCGCGAGACTAACCGCTCTAATACCATGTAGAAAGTATATGATGAATGAATATTGTGTTGTTTCAGTTGTATTGATCCGACCTTCATATGGGGTATATATAGAATACATTGTGAGGGAGAGAGACTTGGAGTAGAGGGCAAGTCGTACATGTTAAACCTATTCTATCTCTAACTCCTACCTCTATCTTAAACACAATTATATTCTAACAGGGTCGGGCTGTCGGGTCCGGCGTGGCGGACGCGCCCGAGCGCCTCCATATCCGGCCCATATTTGGGCTGGATTTGAGGAGTGCAGATCAGCCCGGGCGTCTGAGGCCCGTTTGAGGCACCTGTCTGGGTCAAAATTTCGTGACTGGTCAGTAACTGGACGGCCCGCTCTGACATATGAGGCATGTTCGGGGCGTTCGGCTGTAGATACTCAGAGGCCTTAAAAATTACGGAGCACAGTGATATGAAAGATTGCCTATATGTCCCATTCCACAAAGTGATAGTACAAGGAAATATTACACAATCAATCCAAAAGCCAACAAAACAATAAGAATTAAAAAGAGACGAACCGTCCTTGGGAGGACAACTTGCAGCAATGGCGATTTGTCTTGCTAGCAACTTGCAGACAATACAAGCAGCTAAATGTATTGAAGAATGGGGAATAGAAAGACAACCGAGAAAGGCAACACACGCGTCACTACTGTTATTTGTCTTGCTGGCAACAAATGGAAGCACTTCCCCCACCGACAACCCACACCCCAACCACTTACCAAGAGGGCCCACCAGATGTCAAATCCCTCCACATGACCGAGACCCAGTCAAAATTGAGATACACAATTCAAAATCAGCATCCTCAATTGCTTAAGAACTAGGGAGCATAGTGATGTGGAAGATTTTCTATAACTCACGTTCCTCAAAGTGATAGTACTAGGAAAAACATTGAAAAGATTAACCATAGGTGCAGCATTATTACACAATTAATCAATCCAAAAGCCAACAAATCAATAGGAATTAAAAACCGATGAATCGTTATTCGGAGCACAACTTGCAGCAATGGCGATTAAGTAGCGTGGGTATCAAGTTTCACATGCCATTTTTGCTGTCAACCTTATTTGCCTCTGTAGGCCACACTGTCACACCAGAAGGAAAGGCGGTAAAAGAAAGAAATCAACAACATTGCACCCCAGCATTCAATAAACGTACAGGGACCTCCGGTTGTCCGACTCCAATTCATTGGGCTTCAAGGCTTCAAGATATGATGAAGAGATTCGGAGATGATTCCCCCAGCAGCTGCTCCTGCAAAAGGCTACGTGTCAGATCAATCTCATATTTTGTGCGTTCACGCTAAAACAAATCTACACTTCGGTATTATTAACTCACCATCATGCCTTTAATGTGCCCCGCTCTTGTGCTGTAAGCGTGTAAGAAAAGTAAGAGGGTAAGGGTTGGCAGTAATTAATGGAAAAACATTTCAAGTGGATGCGAGATGACCACAGTGTTGGAAACAAAAATGAGAATAAAAGATCGCACTAGAAATAGAGATATTTCCCGCACCTGTCTAATTATAGAGCTTCATCCGGGAAGATATTGTGGCCATCTGTTGCAACATGGAATAGGACGCCATCTCCCGGTAGACAATTCCTGAATTCTAGGGCGTGCGGGCAGTCTATCATGTACACGTGTTTCAGCAAGCACAGGTTCTCTGCCCGATCCAGCATTGGGCAGTCCTGCGCAAATAGGTCCTGCAGCTTACAGAGATTGGAGATGGTCGTTAAACTTTTGTTGTTCTTCAGCTTGAGCCACGCAACTGCAGGAAGGTTGACAACTTCTTTCAGCTCATGAGCACCTTCAATGTGGATTCTCTTCAGGCTAACCATCTTGGACAAGTCTGGAGGGAGAGCAGTCAGTTTGGGGCAATCAAGAAGCAGCAGCCGCTGGAGGCAAGGCATCAGAGAGAGCTGTTGATCTCTTGGGTTGAGGTACCATTTTTCCAAATTGTACATGCGAATGATTAGTAGCAGTTCGAGCTTGGGGAAAAAAGCCGCTGCACTTGGGACACCTTTCCCCAGGAGGTCTGTGCCAATAGACACAACTTCATCAGCACCTTGAATCTTAAGCTCTAGCAATTCTGGTATCTGGCCTGCTGGTGGAAGATCTGTGCATGGTATGCTCTCGTTGAGGTGCAGTATGTGTAAAATTGGCATATTAAGCTCCGGTTCCGTACGTAACCACTTTGGGAACATTGTGCACGGGAATGCAACAAAGAAAAGATATACCAGGCTTGGTGATGGAATAAGCCGATCATACACTTGCTGGATTCTCTCAAGCTCATTGGCTTCATATCGAGTACTAGTGCATTGGAGTCCTAGTTCTCTGAGATTACTGCTGTTCTTCAGTACAAGTTCACCCTCTGGTGTAGCTTTCTCAAGCTTATCAACCCACAGACGTTGGATATTGGGGAGGTCTTGCAATTCATCCAATCTGAACCCTGTCTTGGTCTCAAAAACACCTCTAAGGTTGTAGAGATGCTTAAACCTTGCAATCCCTTTTGGAATATCATGAAGTGCAAGCTGGTCTAGCTCAAGAAAGCTTATGTTTGACAGCCGCATCAAACCATGAGGTAAGCTATGCAACTTGGGGCAACCAAGCAAACGGAGGTATTCAAGGCTGATGAGGTTCCCTATGGACTCTGGAAGTTTTTCAATTTCCGTATAGCTCAGGTCTAGCAACCTGAGTAGCACCATGTTCCCGAGTGACTCTGGTATGTTTTCGATGCTTGTTCCACGGAGAACCAATACACGGACATGCTGGAGCTTTTTGAAAGTGTCATTATGAAAAGAGCTGAACTTCTTGTTATCGAAAATTAGGAGGGTCCTCAAGGACTTGTGCTCTTCTATAGCGGGTAATTCTTCTATGGCACTGCTGATCCCCAAGCGACGTAATTTTGGTACGGCGCCGTTATTTTCCACATCCATAAATCTGGAGTAATCTTCTTGCACATTCATGAATAAGGAGTGATCCTTTGTCAGATGTTGCCCAAGTGACCTCAATACATCATGCATAGTTGACACAGCTAGGTCCACGGAATCCATTGTTGGCTGCAGAAGATTCCTCCTAACTAGTTCATAGTAGTACCCTTCAGCAGTCTGATGTACCGAGCACCCATGCTCTTTCCTCACAAAACCTTCGGCAACCCACCAGTAAGCGACAGCATCACGCCTTATCTCAAAACTTTGAGGCAACAAAGCACACCAGAGAAAGCACTGCTTCAGTTCATCGGCCAGGTTTCTGTAACTTACATACAGTGCACCTCCTACTCCCTCGGGGAGCCCCTCAATAGACCACTGGCAATCTCGGATCTTCTTCCATTCGTCCTCTGTTTTTCTGGTAGACAGGGTACCTGCAACAGCCTTGATTGCAAGAGGAAGCCCATCACATCTTCTTACAATTTGACGCCCCAACTCCTGGAATGTCCTACCGGGCCTACCGGGCCATTGGAAGGAATTCTTCATAAGCAGCATCAGGCCATCATCCTCACTCATTCTGCTTACGGAGTGGATATGTGTTGTACCCATTGCTAGCAAAACATCATGGCTTCTTGTGGTGACAAGGACGCAGACATTATTCAAGGCTCCCTCGAAAGCTAACTGAAGACGCCTGATCCAAACATCAGCTCTAAACACATTATCCAATACAAGAAAAACACTCTTTCCTTGGATAGTGTCTTTTAGACATAGCAGAAGCTCCGCCTCAGTCTCTCTCTGATCACAGTTTCCTCCAGCCATTCTTATTGCCTGCTTTAGCAATCCAGTCATGTCATAGGTCTCAGAAATGCCTAACCATATATGGATCTGGAATTCTTTCCTTATCCACTCCTCCCAATATATCTTCTTTGCTAATGTTGTCTTGCCGATGCCTCCCATCCCTTCAATGCCGAAAACACTTGGATCATTATTGGGGCACCTACTGGCAATAGCTTGTACCATGGAATCAACATCACGTGTGATACCTGTTCCAACAATCCCTGGTCCAACTATAGGAATTGTGTGGCTTGTATCCACAGCTGTTATCTGGGTCTGTTGAGATATGTGCCCGACATTGTTATACATCTCTGATGCTCCTCTAATCTCACCAAGCTCTGTGTTTATGTCCTTGATTCTTGTAGCAACCCTGTGATCAAGTAAAAGCTTTGCAAAACAAGAGAACATGGAACTACATGGCAATGCTCTTGGTCGCATGTATGAATTAGCCATAAAGAGATCTATGACATCATCAACATTGAACATAACATCACTGACACGCTTCCACCATAATCTGACCCTTTTGTCTCTCATGGCCATTGCTTCGGCATCCTGCCGAACTGCCCTGAAGGCTTCCAGGTTGTGCTGCAGCTTCTTGATATCCCTTCCCACACATAGTGTCATCATAACCTCATCCTCGACAAGCTTAGCCAACTTATGCAATGCGCTCGAAACGAGACCATCCAACACGGTTGCCATAGTGCCTATACCGTGCTGATTCTCAGTCCGTTGCTTGGTCACCTAGTTTCCAAGACGTTTTGCTTGGTAAGCTTTACCAAACAAGCACATGTCACTGCCACAACTCACAACATGCGAAGCCTGATCCTCTTCTCTGCACAAATCATCAAGCGATAAAAGTAAGTTTTAGGTCCGGATCTCAAATACAACTCATTCAACTAGTATCAGAAGAAAAACAATTCATTTAATCAGGTTTTAAAGGGGGGAAATTGTTACATCTTAGGAAGCTCCCTTAAGGCAGATAAAATTCCTCTAGGCGAAATCGCCGGTGAAAAGAAGTTTTTTATTTGAAGTTTCACCATGTTATGTGCAACCCTGCCACGGAGCAATGGGTCGGGCATTGCCAGACTGCCATTGACCCGCAAAAAAAAAATAAAAACCGCAGGGCCGGCAACCGACAATCTCTAACTGCTCGGAATATGCTCCATTGAGGCATTATCCTATCATGCTCCTCTACTCCTAGACTCTGGGTCCTGCTCCGTCTATATGGGGCTCACCAAGTGTGATTGTTCTTTTAGAAACTAGCTAACTAGGAATTAGGATGTCTCACCAAGCAAGTTGTCATGAAAATCACAGAAATGGCAACCACCAACGGATACAATCAAAACAGAAGAAAGCGTGGAGGACAAACAAGATAGGAAAAGGATCGTACCTTTGTACTGTAACGCTAAGGGGTTTTGGTTTAGGAAGAGGATAGAGGGGGCGGCGTCTTGCTGGGACAATGAGGGAAGGATTCGTGCAACCTAGGAGCCGGATTCCTGCTGGGATATGGCCGGCCTTGGCATAGATCAAGCTACTAGATTGCACGAAGCTAAGCATGTCGGTGCACCGAGTAGCTTGATCTCACTAAGCAGGACATTTCCGGCCTTATGCGGACGAGGGAAATATCCTGCTTAGTGAGATCAAGCTACTCGGTGTTCGTGGATCCAAAGTCACAAGCTAAGCATGTCCTTCTGCCTACCTGCACAGTTGCTTCGTTTGCGCCGTTGATGGGGGAAGAGTTCAAAGTCAAACTGCAGAATGGCCAACTAACAATTTTCTTATAGTAGTTGCATCTGATTGCTCTAATATGACATTATCAAGAAAAGGGCAATAATTGCCCCCCTCCCCCCGACAAGTCTTTGAGTCTCCTATAACATTTCAGCTATAACATAAGATGGTTGTCCTCAACTACTTGCGCTGGCAAGAGCCCAATTGGTGTCGAATCTTTATGCAGCATAAGGCCAATTGGTTTTATTATTTCAATTAGGATTGTTGAGTGTAATGTTTATTTAGAAAACGATAGTGTAGGATTTGTTCCTGCCTTGACTTGTACTCCAAGATGTATACGTACTTCTATATATATGCCCACAAGGCTCAAGCAATAAATCGTCGGTTCCATCAATCCTCATCTACCCCTTCTAACATGATATCAGCCTAACCGATCCAAACCCTGGCCGCCGTCCGTCGCTTCTGCCCCGCGCGCCGCCCCCGGGGCGATCGGCCGCCATAACCCCCCTGCCTTCACTTCCAATCGTCCTAATCTTATAGAACAGCATGCGCGCAAAACAATTACGTAACCCTACGTAGGTCTAGCATTACTCGGCTAGATGATATTTAATCATGTGCCCACCAGTGGAATTTAGTCGAAGAACAGATGATCGGTGGTCTCGCCTGCAGAGCAGAAACACATGCAAGGATCATGACATGTGGCATTGAGCGACCCCAGCAGCCGCTCTAGCGCTTCCAGTGATCGCATCGTCTCATTCGCTCGCACGTACAACAACGCCTAGCCTCCGCCATCCCCTTTCCTTCCCTGCCGCCGGGCATGCTTGGGTTGCAGCCGAGGAAGGTGGCGGCAGGGCATTTGGTTGCGCTCGGTGCTCAAGGGCACCTGGTCGGGTGCGGCCGTTCCATCCGGCACATCATGTCTGGCTCCTCGTAGGTCGGCGGCTGCCCGTCAGTCTGGCTCGCCCGGTGGTGGTGGTTGATTTGTATCGGGTGCATTCACTCCTCCTCGCTCGGTGTGCTCCTACGTATGGATCTGGGTTGCAAGAATTGCCAGTCCTTGATGCGGATATGGTTGAAGATGGGGATTCAGATCGGCAGAAATCCCTAGCTGGCACTGGTCGAACGGGATGATGGGGGCGCCTGAGGGTGTTTTTTTTTCTCCATTTAGACGTTCGTCAGATCTGCATCCACCTCCATCGCACCATTTGTCTCCCGGCTGAATGCCCCAACTGTGGCGGGAGGCGACAGTGTTGTCGGTGTCGTTCCCTTGTTGGTCATGACGCCTTGGGAGATAGTCGAATTGTAAATACAGGTGGGTTGGCATTAACGACCATCTGAATCGGAAGGTTGTGTGATATGACATCTACTGCGTCGGCGACATTTGCATAGTTAAGATGCACAATCGACACCAATGCATACACACAAAACCGCATGGGCAAATAGTAAAGTTATATAATATTAAAGCTATATCTGTAATATTAAAGCTATATCTGTAAACGAGCAAAAAGGGAAAAACCTCAAGCGATCAAGCGAATAGATCCGTGATCAGTATACTACAACAACGAGTCTATCCATACCAACCATCTAATGACACCCCACAAATGACGACGTTCTTCAACAGTGCCTTAAGGAAGGGAGCGACGCTCAAGCACTGTCATAATCGGATCCAACCACCCACGGCTAGAATCTATTTTTTCATCCTAAGAACCAGTCCAAGCATACCAAAACATTGCCTTTAACAAAGTAACGACGTAAAAACATCGCCATTGTGAGGTATAACCAACACAGGTAAGACCTAGGTCTTCACCCAGAAACTCAATACTGAGTGCTCGAGTAGCACCACCATCAGTGGCGGAGCCAGGAACTAGGAATGCCCCAGGCAAGCCCCAGGCCAACTACTAGTTACAGTAATGAACCATATCAAACTAGATACAGTGCACAAAGGAACACAGCCCACTAGTAGAAAATGAAGCTTTAGCGCCGGTTCGTAAGGGCCTTTAGTGCCGGTTCCATAACCGGCACTAAAGGGTGGGCACTAAAGCCCCCCCCCCCTTAGTACCGGTTCGGCACGAACCGGCGCTAAAGTGCCACCACGTGGCGTGAGCTCGCGCCCTGGTATGGGGGGACCTTTAGTACCGGTTGGTGTTACCAACCGGTACTAAAGGTTTTTTTTTTGAAAAAAAAATTTTTGAATTTTTTTTCGATTTTTAATTTTTCTGAATTATTTGATGATTTAGTCTCTAATCACCTCTCTTAACTGCTCAAGTGTGGATCACTCATTCCAAATCATCTAACTTCCCGACCGGTCATCCATCCCTCTCACTACTCTAGCCCGAGCACGCTTAACTTTCGGGTTCTATTCTCCTTCGCTTCCGAGTCTGCACTTGTTGTTTTCCTGATAATAGTAAGATGTCAATCCTATTAACCCTCAGGAGTTTAGCTTGAGCATGAAGTCACACATTTCACCGTTTGAGTTTGAAACTATTATTCTAAAAAAACAATAATTATTTAGTAACGCTAATATTTCTTGAATAAGTTTGACCATAGTATGACCATAGTTTGACCATAATTTGACCAGATTTGACCAAAATTCAAAAAATTGAAATAATTATTTAGTAACACTAATATTCTTGAATAATTATGTAGTAACATTAATACTTCTTGAATAAGTAGTTTGACCAAATTTAACCAAATGTTTTTAAAAAAACTGAAATTTGACAATATCTTTTTTTCCTTTTCGAATTTGAGGATTTTAAAAAATTCCAAACAAGCCATAGGCTGTCTCCATCGGATGCGGATTTTCGTGCTGAATTTTTTAATATATTATACGTTTTTTTCCGACATCGTATGCAAAAGTTATAGCCGTTTTACATTTTGCCTACACTTTTTGCAAAACATGTCCAAATTTAAGTTTTCAAATTTTCCTAACTAGTAGATATAGTAATATAACTACCCCTCGAAGGATTTTATTTTTTGAAGTTTTTATCATTTTCTCTT